CATCCCCTCTCCATGCTGCTTATGCTAACAACATCAGTAAAAGGGGGAAAGGGGAAAGGACCCTGGATGGTTGATTCCAGGCAAAGGCGAGTATGGGGTGTGGTGCTCATCTCGCTTCAGGCCAAGGGAGCCGGCATTTGTCCACAGACAGCTTTCCGGGTCATGTGCCCAGCATGACTTAACCGCTTCTGGCACAATGGGACACTGTGGTGGAAATCAGAGCGCACGGAAACACTGTTTACCTGCCTGCTGCCGCGGTACCTGTTTACTTGCATTGGTATGCTTTTGAACTGCTAGATTTGCAGGAGCCGAGACAGAGCAGTGGGAACTCACCCTGTGGCGCATATTTGAACTGCCAGCCTTCCGATTGGCAAGCCCAAGAGGCTGTCGTTTAGACCACAGCAGCACCTTCTACCCTAATAACATCAGTGAAGGCATCCTAACAGATAACCTCTGGAGATGTGGAACAGACAATTTGCTTGGTTGCAAGGGTTGTCTCGGGAGATGACATCCTGCATGACTTCTGTAGGTGAAATGGAGGGTTGGGGCTGGGGAAGGCACCATCTTGTCCTTTGCCTTAGGCAGCCTAATGGTAGGGCCAGCCTAGTTAAGCCTAGAGGAATAGGGGTCTCCTAGCAACTCTCAGCATCCTTAACAAACTACAGTTCCCAGGATTCTTTGAAGGAAGCCATGACTGTTGAAAGTGGTTTGATACTATTTCAAATATATAGTGTAATTGAGGCCTTAGAGTGATCAGATACTGTCATGTTTAGAAGTCCTTGTTTAGAAGGATATTGACAAGCTGTAACATGTGAAGAGGAGGACAACCAAGATGATCAAGGGTCTGGAAACCAAGCCTTACCAGGAAGAACTTTGTGATGGTAAGAGTTGTTTGACAGTGGAACGGACTCCCTCGGGATGTGGTGGACTCTCCTTCCTTGGAGGTTTTTAAGCAGAGGTTGGATGGCCATCTGTCATGGATGATCTAGTTGAGATTCCTGCATTGCAGGGGTTTGGACTAGATGATCATCAGTGTACCTTCCAACTCTACAATTCTATAATATTTCCTCCCTAACAAATTGTAAGCACTTTATTTTATTTGGGAATGAAGCTGTGAGCAAACCTGTTCTATCACCATGATTAAATTTTGGTACCACCACTAGAGACCAGATAAAATTGCTCTAGGGCTGGATTTGGTCTGCAGGCTGTCAGTTGACTATTCTTGATCTATGGAGTTTCCTCCGCCTCTATCCTTTCCTCTACTGTTCATCTGGTAGAAAGGATTCATGGTTTAAATCAAGAAGAAGAAAAAGCCAAATCCCTAGCTCAACTTGAGCATGATTTAGCCGTCTCAGCACCACGTCTTTAAACACAGAATGAAGAACATTGTTTACCTCTACATGTGGTCTTCTGGCAATGGGAGTATTGATCCTTTCTACCAGAGCATCTCCACCTTGAAAAATGTGCCTACAGCATCACCACACATCTCTCAAAGTAAGCCTTCACCATTAAAGCCATTAAAAACCATTAAAGCCATTAAAACGTTAGATGGTCACTGTAATTAGAACTTCCTTCCTAAGTGGGAAAGTGTATTGTGAGCAGGGAAAAGGGAGGTCGGTGCAATCTCTTTATTTCTTCTTTCTTATTTTTTCTTCTTCTTTATTCTTATTTTTGTTCTGTTTATGAATTAAATTATCTCGAAGAGATTTCACGATAAAAACATCAGCAGTGAAAACCAATGGACCGTTTCATGTATGAAACCAACTAAAGGAAGTTTCATGTGCAAAAACAATTTCAGATCCAATGTAGATACTGGCTGGGCTAAAGATCTCCATTTAAAAGGCTTGTTGAAGAAGAAAGGGCCTCCTTAGGCACTGGAGGACAACGGAAACAGCCCCTGTCTGATATGCAACAAGAGGGAGTAGGGCCAACTCATGGCATTTTGGCATCTGAGGTGAAGGACACAATGGTGATTCTCCCCCACCAAGAAAGGTGAGTGAAGAAACTTCATCAGGAGCAAGGGTGTGGAATAAAGATCTACACCAGGAGCAAGGGTGAAAGGAGACCAGAAGCATCTGTTGTTCACCAAGAGGCAACTGTAGCAGTGGAATAGCAGGGTGGCTAATGAGGAGGCAGCAGACCCGACTTCAAGGAGCACGCTGCAGCTGCTACTGTGGCAGCCGCAGCAGTGGGTGATGCATTCCTTGGATACCTGATCTGCTGCCCCTGTGAATCCTGCTGCCTGAGGCAGTTGCCTCACCTTGTTGCCTCATGGGTGGGCCGGACCAGGGAGGAAGTTCCAAAAGGTAGATGCCACCATGCTAGAGGCCTGATTCCTGTATCATATACAATGGACCTCCTGAGGAGATCCTTCCCCTATAGATCACAGTGAACAATTTGGCATATATGAGGAGTGAGATGTTCTTTTAGAAACGATCATTCACACAGAGAAGAGTCGAAACGGGATAACATAGCCGTAGGTTCAAATACTGGCGGAAAATGTAAGAATCCATTTCTAATAACCCTTTCGGATGAAAGGGATTAAGTTTACGCTTGTTATGCACTGTTTGTGCTCATTATTTCTCAGAACAGGATTAACTTTGATCATTTTCTATTGCCACTCGAGCATCTGCTACGAGATAGGCTGGCGCGCTTAAAGTTTTGTCGCGGGACCCAAGTGCACTGTTACCTCATACACAGAATGTCAGTGGAAACGGGATTTGTTCAACTTGAAGGCCATCACCAAACATTGCCTGGGAGACACCAGTCAAACCTGTAAAATCTTCTGCAGCCAAAACACCTGCAGGGATTTTAAAGGCAGGAAAAATGATTCTGATAAGATTAACAAACTCTATCCTCATTCAGGCATCATGCTTGAGCAAGAAATAGCAGTCTGGATTTGGGGTATTGAGCCATGCATGCTGGTCAGCCCCAGATCTTCCCAGGTTGAGCAGGAGATGTCTGAATGAGGCTTTTACCTGGATTTACTTGACTGAGTGTAGACACCTCTGCACATAGGAGCCCTGTATTATCATAGCTTGAAGACTTCAGTTAAGTGAAGACTTCAGTTTAGCTAAGCGAAAACAGTTTGGAACCTTCAACACACTTTCCTTGCTATAAACACAGGGAGGTCTGTAATAGAGTGGGGAGGCACACATATTCCCACCACATAACACTGAAACGTGACTGGTACTCTGTTATGGTGCTTTAGAAGCTTTTAATGTTTTGTTGCATTCTTTTATATTCTGTTGGAAGCCACCCAGAGTGGCCGGGGCAACCCAGTCAGATGGGTGGGGCACCAGAAATTGTTGTTCTATCATCACCATCACCACCTTCATTATCCCAGGTTAACCCTGTGTCTGTTGACAGTTGTGTAGGAACGCGTCCCACCAGTCTTCTTGCAATACGAATATATCCATGAATACACACCTTAGTAATGACAGGCATATAATACGCACCTGGCCTCGCTTCTCTCTCTGCTTAGCAAATCCAGCAATCATAGAAAGTTTTATTTGGAAAGGGTAAAAAGGATATCACAGAAGGACACAGTTGCAACCTCCATTTATCTCCAGTTGTCAGATATTTTACTGCAAATAAGTTTACTGCGCAGGTGTTCTTTCCTTTCATGGGTTTTCATGGGAGAGACATCACTAGTGCTGTCAAAATTCATGAAGCCAGGGAGCTCCATGGGAAAGCATTCCCATTTGCATGGAGAAGAGAGACAGGCAGAGATGAAATACAGCAAAATCTTTTACTGCACCTGCATAAATAGGGGCATGCTATGCCCTCCAGAAGTTCAAATCCTGGATGAGGCACGTTAAAATAACATAATGATCTAGCTGAGAGCATGCTTGGAGCAGTTTCTAATAACTACAGATGTTTCTCACCTAAGGGTGTGAGGGAACCATAGAGCTTGATAATCAAACCACACAATGTCAAATTCACTGATTTGGGGCACTGTTGTCCCCCTTCGTTCAGGTCCCACAGTTTTTCTTTTCTTTTCCTTTTTATAAAAAAGCACCTTAAAAGGTTGCAGAAGTCATTTATCTCCTGGGAGAGTGGAAGCCTGCAAAGGATCACTGAAGGCTTTGTATCGTTTGTAGCAGCTTAACTGCTGAAATATTGTAGAGCAAATACACTGCACAGTGTAAGCTCTGTCAACACAAATCTTTCTTTTGGGAATGATTGGTCGAGGAAAAAAATGTCTTCGAGATGCTTCTTGGTTGGATTGGTATCCTTCATGTCTGCACTGAACAACAGGCTTGTGTGTGAGGTGTGTGAGAGAGAGTTCTCACTAGTACAGCTATTTATGTGGGCATCCATAACACTTTGATCAATATATGAGTACAGGCAACTCATTTTTAGGACACCTCTACCCCATCCCACCTTACATGTGTGTGTGTCTCTGTGTGTAATTTTCTAGTTCATTGGTCAATATTTATCTGTGGGTCATTGCTTTGGCTCTATAAGACAGTCACATGTTTTTCAGTTTTCTTTGCCTGGCCTGAGTCAGAACAGACCCTAAAAGTGTCCCTATTTTCCAGGGACGTCCCTGCTTTAGAGAAGTCTTCCTGGGTTCTGATTTGATCCTGAAATGCCTCCCTTTTTCTTTAGGAGGTCCCTATTTTCATCAGAGAAATGTTGGAGGGTATGGAGTTATCTGACCCCCAAGTTGTCTGAAGGCAATCTTGTATATGGAAGGTAGTTTTAAAAAATGTTTAATGTTTTCTTATGCTTTTATATGTGTTGGAAGCTGCCCAGAATGCTGGGACAACCCAATAAGATGTGTGGGTGTAAATAGTAAAATTATCATTATGGAATGGGACTTCCCTATTTTCATTGGAAAAATGTTCGAAGCTATGGTACAGCAGCAGTGACACTGGCAGGTGGCGCAGTGGCAGTGAGTGTCCCACGGGTGGTGGTGTGGCAGAGCAGAGTGGTACTTCCTGTTTTGCCTCAAGTGGTGAAATAGGATGTACCATCCCTGATCTCAGAATTCCAGAACTTACAGCTGTCAGTTCTGAGGGAAGGCAGGCAATGACCCACAGCCCAGGTGGGGCTCGCTAGCTTGGGGAGGAGGTGTGTGATTCCTCATCTGGAGAAGGTTCAGGTGAGGCTCACGTTCTTTGCCAAGCCCAGAAGCTATAACAGGCCTGCGTCCTGGCCACACACACATGGCTTCTGTTTTGTGCAAAGCTGGTAGATTGAGAAACGTGTGTGTGTGTGTGTGTGTGTGTGTGTGTGTATTAAAGGTGTGTGCTTACAGGTAAACAGATACCAGTGTCCATGCCCATATTGATGTCAGGCAAGGCCATCCCACCCATGAATTTTTCTTTGAGAAAAATAAATGGCTCGCGTAAATATAAACTAAGCTTTAATAATAATGAAAACTGTAACAGAATAGCATAATGAGAGAAACTAAATGCAGCAACAGGAGGCAAGAAACAAGAAGACACAGTTGGTCCCTCTTAACGGACATTCTTAACTGAACAGAACTGAACACAAACGGAAGGGAGGGGCTGATTCCGGAGCAAAGCACACAAGCCCCGCCCACCAGATGCCAAGCACTCTACTAGAGTGGTACCTTGGTTCTCAAATGCCTTGACACTCAAAAGCCTTGGCTCCCAAATGCTGAAAACACAGAAGTATGTGTTCTGGTTTTCGAACGTTTTTTGGAAGCTGAACGTCCGATACGGTTGTCGGCTATGGTTTCTGGGGCTCCTGCACGAATCAGAAGCTGCGCCTTGGTTTTTGAACAATTTCGGAAGTCAAACGGACTTCTGGAACGGATTAAGTTTGGCACTTTTGTTTTTGCTATTGATTTTGCGTTTCTGTTTTTGAGGCTTTTTCAGTTAATTTGTTTTTGTGGCTGTGTGGAACCCAGTTCAGCTACTGATTGATTGATTGTGTGACTGCGGAAATGGATAAAAGCCCCCCATCCAAACAATGACTAACATTGGTGCAGGTAAGGAAAAAATAATAATTTTAATTTTTATCATCTACAGTACTGTCTTACTTATTTTATATAGCATGGTACATTGATTATTGCTTTCATTTTATGGATCAATGGTCTCCTTAGATAGTAAAACTCATGTTAAATTGTTGTTTTAGAGGTTGTCTGGAACAGATTAATCCATTTTGCATGACTTTACATGGGAAAGCACGCCTTGGTTTTGGAACGCTTTGGTTTTGGAACGGACTTCCGGAACAGATTAAGTTTGAGAACCACTGTATTCAAATTAGGCCTCAGTAGCAATCCTGTATAGGGAAGTTCTTTTTAATGTTTAATGTTTTATTATGTGGCTGTGACAACCCAGTAAGATACGTGGGGTATAAAAAGTAAAATTATCAATATGGAATGGGACGTCCCTATTTTCTTTGGAAAAATGCTGGAGGGTATGTAAGGATTGTCAATTGGTCAACATTTCACTGGCCTTTTCCAGCAAGGTTGCATTGTTGTTAGCCGCCCTGAGCCCGGCTTCGGCTGGGGAGGGCAGGATATAATTATTATTATTATTATTATTATTCTGTCAAGTAAAAGTGAGTAAACATCAAATCCCGCTACACTCTGCGCTAGACAAACAAGATTCTGCCAGATTTTGTTTGTTTGTTTGTTTGTTTTATTTAACAGGATTTATATACTGCTTAATCATTAAAAAATCTCTAACTGGTTACTATCAATTCAACATTGTGTTGTAGCCAGTGAAGTCATCCCATCACTGTAAGATTTTTGCCTGCGCAATGAGACTTCCTCTCCCTCTGTGCCCTCAAATCTGTTCTGAATAAAACATGGGGTTTATCCCATTTGATCACAAGACATGGTGTGCACACATCATTTAAATGGCAATGTCCATTAGCTTGGGGGGCCCTGGTCCCCTCAAATATTTTATGGGGGGGCAAAGGGACCTCAGCTCCTAGGAGTTGGCTCCTAGGATCTGGTAACAGGAAAAGGAGCAGGACTATATAATAATAATAATTTATTATTTATACCCCGCCCACCTGGCTGAGTTTCCCCAGTCACTCTGGGCGGCTCCCAATCAAGTATTAAAAACAATACAGCATTAAATATTAAAAACTTCCCTGAACAGGGCTGCCTTCAGATGTCTTTTAAAGATAGGATAGCTACTTATTTCCTTCACATCTGAAGGGAGGGTGTTCCACAGGGTGGGCGCCACTACCGAGAAGGCCCTCTGAAATGAAGGGTGAACTATTCTGCTACGGAAAGTGTGGGAGCTACTGCTCTGAGTAGGAGAGATCTTGCGTGAAAGCTGACATTCTAAAATAAACCCCCTTCCTGCAAAACATTCTCACTGAAGTCGACAACAGTGGTATTCTTTATACATTAACTTTGGCTCCATTTCAGAGTAAAATTCATGAGCAAGAGTAACCAATTATTAAGGAATAGGGAGACAAAGGAATGCGATTCTGCATTGTGCTGGGACTTAGTAAGAGTTGAACGCACATTATTCACTGGATAAATATGTGGAAGAAAGGAAGAGAGTATTTAGCTCTGTTTTAATTACTGTTAATCTGCCAAGACTTTCCCATTAGAAATATCACACTGGCATTTTCTTGGGTACCAGCTGCAAGCCAAGCTCTTTAACATTTGATTTTGATGCACTTATTCATCCAATTCCCTGCTTTCTTTCATCTGTTCACTAGGCACCCATGCATTTGGGAAGAACTTTCTGATGAGACACTCCCCCAAAATTTCAGTTAGTTCCCCCCTTTGTTCTCCTTTGCCCCCTGCCTCAATCCCTAGGTCTCTCTCTCTCTCTCTCTCTCTCTCTCTCTCTCTCTCTCTCTCTGTGTGTGTGTGTGTGTGTATGAATATCTCTCAGTGAATATCTCTCTTTGAAGCACATCATGTTTCAGCCAGGGATAATGGCCTTTGGTATTCTGCTAGAACCACATTAAAAACCACTGCGTTCCACTGGCTGAGGAAGTTACAGCGATGCTCTCTTCCACTTGACAGAGTGATGATAATCTGGGGCTGTGCTGTGTACTAAACAATCACTATTCATTGGGGTTTGTTAGACATTTCATTCCACGGCAAAAGGAAAAGGGAACTTTTGTCAATAATTAATTTTCAACATTGGCAGAGTGGGATTCTTCAGGTGCCCACATCTCAGGGGGAGGAGGGGGCCTAATGAAAGAGACTCGTTCTTTCCATGCTATGTTTTGAGGAGGGAATTAGCTCTCCAGAACACTCCCACAAGGCTGATTTTTAACACAGGAAGCATCCTTCAGTAGAAGTCAAATCTCCCTAGGATCCAGCGCTGAAAACATTATCATTTCAAAATTCTCTTTACAAGTTCTTTGTCTTCAGCTTCATTATTGTCTTGTTCCTGTACTTGACAGAATTCTCATAGGCCTTGCATTATTACAGAGGAACATGATGGCAAGAAAGTCCTTTGCTCCTTCTGCGACCTTGAAGAGAAGGCTGTTCCAAGGGAAGCCATTACAGGGCCAGTTTCCTAATATGCTAATATCTCCAGTGTTCAGGATGTGTGTGGTTTGTATATGTAGGCAGAAGGATACACACTCTTGTGCATGAGGGAGCTATCCGGAGGTTTGATGGAACCACAAGTTTTGCAAAGGGACAATAAAACTTGGGGGGGGGGGAGGAACTAAAGGGGGATGGTATACAATTTTTTTTTAAAAAAAAACAGCTAATTTACAACCTTAGGGACGCGGGTGGTGCTGTGGGTTAAACCACAGAGCCTAGGACTTGCTGATCGTCAGGTCGGCGGTTCGAATCCCCGTGGCGGGGTGCGCTTCCATTGCTAGGTCCCAGCGCCTGCCAACCTAGCAGTTCGAAAGCACCCCTGGGTGCAAGTAGATAAATAGGGACCACTTACTAGCGGGAAGGTAAACGGCGTTTCCGTGTGCTGCGCTGGCTCGCCAGATGCAGCTTTGTCACGCTGGCCACGTGACCCGGAAGTGTCTCCGGACAGCGCTCGCCCCTGGCGTCTTAAGCGAGATGGGCGCGCAACCCCAGAGTCAGACACGACTGGCCCGTATGGGCAGGGGTACCTTTACCTTTAATTTACAACCAGGGACTGTTAGGCTGTGTGCACATTATACATTTAATTCTTTCCCTCAAAGAATTATGGGCATTGCAGTTTGTTAAGGCTTGCTGGGAATTACAACTGTGTGGGGGCTAATGTACAGAGCCCAGAATTCCTTGAGTAAAAGAATGTGCTTTGAAGGTGCTTTAAGGTATAATGTATAAGCAGCCTTAGCTGGAAACAGCTCATACCAGTTAGCTCTTGTGTTCTTCATTTGTGTTCTCCAAAAGCTAGAAAAATATAAGATTTGGTAATGGGTTTGTCATGGCCTCCCAAAGCTGATAACTTGCACTGCCTCCAATGGAAGCCCAGATGAGGAAAAGATTCACACTGCTCCACCCAGTGGATAGACTTTCAGCATGTCACACTTTTCAAGCCTGAGGACATGGAACTTCTGCCTTCCTCAGACTCAAGAGCCCTCAGTAGCATCTCCTGCTTCTCTGCAGTTGCAGAACCAAAAATAAACCCTTTTAAAAGAACAGACAGATCCTCTAGGGCAGGCTTCCTCAAAGTTGGCTGTCCAGATGTTTTGAAACTACAGTTCCCATCATCCCTGACCACTGGTCCTGCTAGCTAGGGATCATGGGAGTTATAGGCCAAAAACATCTGGAGGGCCGAGTTTGAGGAAGCTCTAGGGAGACAGTGCCAGCAGCATAACAGGCAGTAGCTTTATGATGCTTCAATGCTTAGCTGAAGCCACATTCCCATGTTATCTACAGTAGAGGGAGAGCTACAAGCAGCAGAGCTCACTGTGGAAAAAACCCAAACAAGAATCCAAACAAGGGAGGCTATTCCATAACCATGGTGCCAACACTGAAAAGACCCTCACTTTGGTAGCCACCCACCTTAAAGTGCTTCTAAATCTGACTTTGTGGGAGATTAGCAGTCCAACCCAACTAATGTATATTCTTGCTGGTTAGCATGAGAAAGGGCTAAGTCCACAGAGCTGTATTGCTGATAGGCAGGTACTCAGAACATAGAAATACAACTGGTAGAGTGGTCTCTGTGTGATGTCATTTCCCCTCCTTTCCTGGAGAAGAAGGAGCATATAGTACTTCTTGTTCCTCTCTTTCTTCCAGTGATCAGCTGTGAGGGCAGACAAGCCTTGTGCTTGTTCCAACTTTAGGCACATACTGTAAATATGAGTGTTTTGCCTGCATAGTTTTGACTAATGCCATCGCTGTGAACAGCTGCAAGAATATAAGTAAGTTGAACTTAATTTTTAAACTTACTTTTCAGATTGTTGCCTGATTCTTTGTTAACTGGGATAAGAAAGGGGAGCCAGCTTAATCCATAGCTGAACTTGTTCAAAACAAGGTTTTATAGCCTAATTCCTATACTTTTAATTTTGCTCCTAAGGATGGGATTTTGAACCTCTTTTCAACTCACACAGGTGGGCACTTGGAGGGATAAATTGCAATTAATATATCCTCTCTTACTCATTAAAAACCCATCCCACAAACTTGACCTGATGTAAACCTGCTTACTGGGACCTGACCTTATATGAACTTGACCTGATGTGACCTTCCTTAAGGCTGCTACCACTTCCCCTGCGATCCCTGAGCCCCAGAATAACAGGTTGCTGCCACATTTGAGGTGTGGAAAAACTGGGAACTTTGCCCATCTGCACCCATCAAGCAGTTGGATTTCCCACTGCTGGAGATTCCTTTTGTAACTAGCATTAGTGTGTGGAGCAGATGTCACTTTCTCAGCCCCATTAGAGTGAAATTATCCAGAGAAAACAATAAATAATTTCCAGTGACTTGACTTTATGCAACCTTCCTATTCAAATGGCAAAATAAGAAATGTACAAATCATCACAGGCAATGGATGGGAGATAGAGTCAGATCCATAAAGCACAAGAAATCCCAGGAAAATTGGCTCGGCACAACACAGGACCTCTGGGATCTACCCCATTGTGTGATGTATGCAGTTTTGTCAAGTGAAGGGTAAAAAGCCAGTTCCATAGGTATTAGGGAAGTATGTTAGGATATCAATGCTATAAATTTTAAGACTGTGACACGGGCAGTGTGTTTTAGGCTGGCTGTAATTACTTTGTGCGTAAGAGAGAAACATGGTGGAAGAAATCAGAATGCGAGAACGCCGTCCGGTGGTGTCAGAAAACGGAAAGGAGGGGTAAGTTGTAAACAATAGGCTGTCATAGTGAGTAAAATGGAATTTCTGTCTTTAAAAATAAAATAAAAACCAGAGCAAAATTTCAGAAAGATTATAAATCACAGCTTTACCCCGCATTATTTCCAAACAAGCAATTCAAAATCTCTGCAGTTGGCCTTCTGGGGACTTCTTAAATCACTAAGCCCTTATCAGCACCAAGTAGAATAAAAGTCTCTTTCAGCACATTTATCCTGCCATTTCATTTGAATCCAGCAAAGCCCAGGGAGGCGGCAAGACATCCTGTTCTGGACAATGTTACATTACCTTGAAAGGAGCAGGACTACAGCTTTACGGGTGGTTAGGGTTCCCATATTTCCCAAAGTGAAAATCCAGACAGAGTTGTTGATTTTTTTTGGGGGGGGGCAAAGTTGTTGAGCTCCCCAAAAACATTCATTTTGGATCTTTTCTTGTATTTTTAAAGAATTGTAAAAATAAAAATAGCCCAACTTACCATACATCTGGGTTTCCCCGGACGTTTACCATTTCAGCAAAAATCTGCCCGGACGCCATTTTCCTGAACGAATAATGTCCTGGAAAACCCAGACGTGTGGAACTCCTTGGCGTGTTGCTGGATTCAACACTGTTGCTGGAGGCTCTGGTGGCCTTGGTGACTAGGAATGCTCTGGCTGTTTTTGGAGAGAAATGACTTGGCCTCTGTACTCCATGCTCAGGCAACTTCCAGATTGAATGGTTGTGTACCGAATTTCCTTTATGAGTGAGGCCAGAAGGTGAACTACAGAACTGGAAAACAACAAAAAGGTGCATGTTGAGGGAGCGAATAGTGCCATTATGTAGTTTAGTCATGAGGTGGCACTGGATTTAGTTGTATCCAGGTGGAGGCAAACATTTTCTGTGCTGTTCAAGACAATAAAGTTCTTGTCTAGTTTTCTAACTGATGCATCCTCTATGCCTTCTGTGATGGCGAAAACACTCAAGTAGTGCACGGACCAGGAAATCCAGCCATTTACTTCCTTCCTGCACAACTTTTAGCTCTTTGCTACCACTACTCAGTCGAAAAGTCAGTACATCCATTAATCTTGACATATGAGAATACTCACACACTGGGGCAGATACTCCTGGACTCAGACAGAAAATGCATTATTTTTTTAAAAGGACAAATGCTTCTTTAACACCTCACAAATTCCTTACCCATTGCTAGCTTACAGCTTTCTTTGCTAGCTGCCCTGCTGAGTTGGGTTTTCAGACTAACACGATCCATTTCTACCATGGTTTGTATGCTTTTATTTGGTGCTGTTCCTCAATAACAGCTCCCAAATGTGCCTATAACCTTGTTTTCAGAAGTCTGGTTTTGATGCTATTGAATCTACTGTGGCAATGCAGCAATTAAGTGGGATTAACTGATACATGAGACAAAGGATACTCCTGTGTGGGTTAGCATTTGGGGACAAAGTATAAAAATCTGGATGATTTATTCATAACTTGGCCATATTTAGAACAAGGTCAAACTGGCATCAGCGCCTTGAGTTTAAAATAATCCCTCCCCCTGTCCTCCTCCATCTGATCAAAATGTCATCTTCATTAGCAGACATGGGTACCATTTAGGAAGGGCACTCTGTAAGTCTCAGGCTTACTCACTGGTTTTATATTACAACTCCAAGGGATTATTTTCAGAACTGTGGAAACCTAGGTGTTAGGTATGATGCTACAGATACGCTTAACTTTGCTTTTAAAAAAAGATAAAATATTGCTGTTTCTCTCCCTCCCCCCCTTCTCACTCTGGTGCAAGAGTAGTCATATTTTCTACCCATCATTCAAAGGGGGGCAGGGTGTTATCTTTCCAATGAATCAATATCAGTCTTTTAAGTCAGAGCCTGAAGAGTACATTTATGCTGACCTGCTGTCAAACCACCTGCGGTTTGGATAATATTATCATCTGACAATTTAACATTTTCCCCCATGGTAGTATTTCTACATCAGGCATAGGCAAACTCGGCCCTCCAGATGCTTTGGAACTACAATTTCCACCAACCCTGACCACTGGTCCTGTTAGCTAGGGATCATGGGAGTTGTAGTCCCAACACATCTGGAGGGCTGAGTTTGCCTATGCCTGATCTACATCTTAGTATTTTCCTCCAAATATTTGTAAGCATCAGACACTGAATCAACCTATGCTTCAAAGAAGCATTTTCCTTATTACATCTCCAGCAGCATGTTGTCATGGAACGTCACCTCACAGGGTTGTTGTGACAAATAGACCGAATATGGCATAAGGCTTCATGGGGCCAGCATGTGAGACACATGCTTGAACAAGGTTCAAATACCACCTTGGCCATGCCTCACTAAACTACAATTTTCAGAGTAGTTTATCCATCGATCCTTCTTCTCAGGGAGCTCTCGGGATTTATAGCTCTGTGAGGGGGGTGGGGAAGGGTCTCCCGACAACTGTGAGCATTCTTAACAAACTACCGTTTCCCAAGATAGTTTTGGGAGAAGGGGTGACAGTTTAAAGCGATAAGCTTTAAATGTGTGTGTAGTTCAGATGGTGAATTAGTTGCTTAATGAGATTAAATGGAGGCAGGTGAAATGGATGCATGGTATTGTTTTATAATAATAAAAAACAGAGATGCAATTTCAGGCTAGATACTAGAAATATACTAGACTCTATATTCCTTTCATCTCATGTGCACAGAAACAAACACAAAGATCCATGGAAACAGAACAATCAGTAAAGATTTCATGAAGGTGTCAGAAAAGAAGATTCAGCCGGGTGGCTCGGAAACAAACTGTGAAGTGAATAAATTCATGCAGGAAAGGGAAAGGGAAAGGATCATCTTTGCTATAGTCTGTGATTATGTGCTGCCAAGACATTTTGCTCAATGTCTGGCCTTGATGCTTTGTAAGTAACTGCTGCGTGTATTCCTACAATCTCTGGTGCAGTATTGCAGTTGCTGGATCATTGAAAGTCAAGGGAAGAGCTGAGCTGCTGGCCTAAAATCACAATGATAACGCTAACAGCCTAGGTAATTGAGGTTATTATGGATGCATTAGACATACAGACAAACATGCACAATTATACACAATGCAAAGATAAGCGTATTCACAGCAGCCAGAGTCTTCTAGCTCCGTCAGGAGAGATGAGAGTTCCCACACCTCACACAAACACACACACACACACACACACACACACACACACACACACCAGCAGTGGCTTAGCACCAGGATTCTCCAACCTGGTGCCCTCCATAGACTTTGGATTGCAGATATTCATATTGCACAGTTTGAAGCAAGTAGGTGCTAAAAATAGAGTCCTTATGGAGTAAAAAACATTGTCCAGACCTATGAAAATATTATGCAAAGTTTACATGCAGAACTTTCTTTAAAATATAACCAAAAGGTAAATGATGCATTCAAAAAATTCCATATCTTGTGCATATCCATCACAGGCTCAGCATCCTCTTAGAAATAAAATAAATGTACAATCAGAGCTGACAAACACAAGTCTCTCTCTCTCTCTCTCACACACACACAGGCTTCATTGCCTGCATTCCATTTCCCTAGAGCTGTTTTCTCTCCCTTTGGGAGAGTCTTTTACGCATCTTTACTCCATATCGTCTGAAAGAACAAGACTCCTTTCCAATATGACTAATTTGCAATTCAATACCTTAAAAATGGGACGCGGGTGGTGCTGTGGGTTAAACCACAGAGCCTAGGACTTGCTGATCGGAAGGTAGGCGGTTCGAATCCCCACGATGGGGTGAGCTCCCGTTGCTCAGTCCCTGCTCCTGCCAACCTAGCAGTTCGAAAGCACGTCAAAGTGCAAGTAGATAAATAGGTACCGCTCCGGTGGGGAGGTAAACGGCGTTTCTGTGCGCTACTCTGGTTTGCCAGAAGCAGCTTATTCATGCTGGCCACATGACCCAGAAGCTGTATGCCGGCTCCCTCGGCCAATAAAGCGAGATGAACACCGCAACCCCATAGTTGGTCACGACTGGACCTAATGGTCAGGGGTCCCTTTACCTTTTCCTTTACCTTAATCACCTGATCTAAGGTTAAACACTCACGTGTTAGCTAGCAGAAAACAACAATAGTTAATTATCAACTACTTTAAGCACAGAGAGAGCTCTTCTTGCTTTTCTAAAGCTTCAGTGGAATCTCCCCATGTTAAACCTTTTTACCAATACACAGGAATTTTCATATCAGTGTGAATTAAACCAATTATACTTAACATTAGCCGCTATTTACTATTACATTTATATGCCACTTTAAGGACCTACTTCAAAGTGGTGTACATGGTTCTGCTCCTGCTCTCCATTTTATCCTCAAAGCAACCCTATGAGGTAGGTTAGGTTGAGATACCCCCTGTCTATGTTAGGACTGCAACCTAACAAGTTCTGATATGAGAACAGGAGTATGGGTACAAAATTAAGATCTATATTATTGTGGGAAATTCACACTTCAACTAAACAGTTGGACTGACTTAATGAATTCTCTGGTACACATCTGGGGCTCCCTTATTGCTAGGGAATGAATACTGTGAGTTTAACATAAATTACTCTACTGGCAAGGATATAGTAAAAGGCGCCCATCATTATAGAGAAAAATGTTTTAAAATAGAATCAACATGCAGACAAATTTCCATTGCTAGCTGTCAGCACATTGGATGAAACAGAGCTTCTGAGAAGCCTCCGTTTTCAGTGGAAGATAACTTTTAGTCAAAAACTTATTTATTTGCAATGGAAAATAAGTTTTAGTCAAACCATTCAGGCTTTGGTTCCCATTCAAGCCAATAAAGGTTCTGTAACCCATTTTTAAAAATGCTGGTATGAAAAACAACCAAAACTGGGGTAGCTCAGTCAATAGAGCACGAGACTATTAATCTCATGGTTGTGGGTTCGAGCAGCACGCTGGGTAAAAAGATTCCTGCATTGCAAGGTATTGGACTAGATGACCCTCGTAGACCCTTCCAGCTCCACAATTCTATGATTCTAGGAACCAGTTGCTTCAGTTCTAGTTTCAATGAGACAATTTAAAAATAAGGTACAATGAAAACATCGTTTGTATAATAAGGCACAGCAAACTAAAAGACCTAAAATTATTAAAACTAAAGCCTTCTCCAGGCATATCCCCTTGTTACAGTTCTCATCTCCCTCCATGATATTTTGAGATCTCAGGAACTGCAGAGATTCTGTTCCTGTGAGACATAAGTTTGCAAGAGGGCAGGATTCCTCCATTCAGTGGTGGCTAACACCTGTTGAGATTGGCAGGGAAGTAGGTAGGGAGCACAGTAAGCCAGAGTCAACAAGATGCAGAGCAAACTAATTCTATTTTTGTCCTCCTCCTCCCTGCTGAATCTACAAAGGGCACACTGAGACTAAGATGGAGGAAGTTGAGAGGCAGTGCCGCTCTCTTCAGTCATTGTAAGAATGCAGGCTGGTGGAAGCTAGCTGAGGGCAGTCTGACCTTGATGGGGCAGTTCCCAATTCACCCTAGTGGACCAGCCTCCACTGAGTCTAATTTGGGGTACCTTCTACAGGCACCAGCTCCTAGCTGCTTCAATGGGATTTTTCCTGCCTCCCCACCACTGCTAAAGTCCCTTGTTGTGTTACAGCACCTCCCAGGCTGAGGTTGGGACTTACTAATTTAAACACATGCTGTAGTGCTTTGCCAAGTGGAGACAGTAGCCGTTAATCCAATGGCATGCTCTTGCAGTATCCATCAGCAAAGCTTGCGGTGTTTGAGATTTCTTTTCCAATAAGTGTTGAGAATTTATTTCAGGACAATACTTTGTGTAGCAAGTTCTGCAATAATTTTTAAAGACTGCAGTGGACACTCAGAAAAAGAAGCAGCAGTGGAGAAATATTAGCATCAAACAAGAGCTGCTTTTAGTGAAATTACAGTATTAAACCGGAATCCAGATATTCTCCATCTTAAAATCTTCAAACCATCACTGGATGGAAACTCTCTCATGTTCAGATAATACAAAGCTTCCTCTTCTAACATGGGGCATGAAGTAAGTCTCACTTATTGAACGGTGGAAGAAGAAGCTCTGGAGCCAAGTGAGGATTCCCAGTAAGATCCTCCCTCTATTGTGTGGGCAGGTAATCCCTCCCCTACCTGGCCTGGTCTCCTTGGCAACGCTTCCCCCAGGTGGGATTGGACAACTGACTGAGGTAGGCGGAGACTTCCAGGTATCCCACCTGAGGGAAGGCAAGGCCAAGCCTATGCTGTTGGAGCCGCTCCAGATCTAGGGGCTGCACGCGTCCACGCAAAGGGCGCCCCCCGTTTTAAGCGGGGAGCGGTCATTTCCACCCAGATTTCTGTAATCTTTTTGGTTTGTCTTGTTACCTAGAAAATCTCTTTGATTATCTTTTTATGCTCTAGTTTGGCAGTTGTGCAGAGAACTAGTAGTGAGGAACACTTGTGTTAATATAATTTCAAGGCCAGTGTTTTGGCCGAGACGCATTTCCTGCTGTATTATATGCTTATATGCCTCAGATCCAACTTTAGGTGACAAGCCTCACACTTACTAGGGAGTACTCTCCACTGAACACAATGGACTTGTTGTTGTTTAGTCGTTTCTGACTCTTCGTGACTCCGTGGACCAGAGCACGCCAGGCACTCCTGTCTTCCACTGCCTCCCGCAGTTTGGTCAGACTCATGCTGGTAGCTTCAAGAACACTGTCCAACCATCTCATCCTCTGCCGTCCCCTTCTCCTTGTGCCCTCCATCTTTCCCAACATCAGGGTCTTTTCCAGGGAGTCTTCTCTTCTCATGAGGTGGCCAAAATATTGGAGTCTCAGCTTCAGGATCTGTCCTTCCAGTGAGCACTCAGGACTGATTTCCTTAAGAATGGAGAGGTTTGATCTTCTTGCAGTCCATTGGACTCTCAAGAGTCTCCTCCAGCACCAGAATTCAAAAGCATCAATTCTTCGGCGATCAGCCTTCTTTATGGTCCAGCTCTCACTTCCATACAATGGACTTACTTCTGCATAAATATGCATAAGAGTGTGTGGGGATGTGATGTAATACACAGAGAATTTGGTTCAGGGCCCCAAAGGTGTCTGCTACGGTCGGAGAATACGGATGATGTCCAACCAAGGAGAGAAAGAAGCGAGTTGTCCTTTAAAAGCAAAGATCCTTTATTTGGTTCCAACCGGGTTCCCTACACAAAGGTGACAAAAGGTATGAGGAAACCCACCCAAAGTAAGTCCAGAAATTATACAATCGCAATTGCGGGTGGTCTTATTTGTCACAGGTTCATCAGTTTACAAGGTAAGGGGGAGGTTCATGGGAGCAGGGTGCAAAAGGGAGGTTCGGGGGGGGGGGGCAAATCCTATCTACATGAGTAAAGTAATATCTAGAAATCCAGGGATTGATGCCAACTGATATGGTAATCCATTTTTCTAGAATAACAATAGGGATGAGAGTTTTATTTAACAGATGAATTCCTCTTCCTGCAGGATCAAAGGAAATGGATCTGGTCGTCTGGCACTTTACGAAAGAAGGAAGAGGAGCTGAGTGGAAGTGATTAGGTTGAGGCTAAAAATAACATTCGTGGTTACAATAAAGTGATGCAATTGGAATACATGGGTTCCAATTCTTATTTTCCTGAAAGTAGTTACAATCATTGAGAAGTTGAACAAACACTGATAAGGCACAAGGATACAAAGGGGCCAATTCCACTGCAAAGACGCCCAATGTATCAATTGCATAAGGGTCACTTTAGGGATTCACATTTATAAGTAGTAAAGACACGATTACAAGAAAAATACCTAGATACAATTTAAAATTACCTGGATACAATTACAAGGAAATACTTGGATACAATTATTTTTTTAAAAATACTTGGATACAATTATAAAAATAGACATAGGATAAATTCAGGAAATAGGGTAATAGGCCGTACAGGGAAGAAAGAAAAATGCTTTATTTGACAGAAAGGAAAGAAGGGATTTGAAGTAGGGGAAGAACGGGAGAAGCACATTAAAAGGAGAGCAGACTAAAAGGCAAAATTGAGGAAAAGGTTCATATATCTCTTAGGTTGTCTTCATTTGGTTTATTTGGTCCTGGTTTTCAGCTTCTTTGGCTATTCTTCTACATCAGCTGAAAATCCAAAGACCCAGATCCAGACAGTGCAAAATTGTGTTATGAATTGTCGTTGTTGCTGTTTTGCAGTAGGAAGTTAATCTAGATGATACTGTGATAGGAATTTTATGGTCTTAGATATATGGTAATGTTCATAAGTGTACCAACCAAGCACATACATAGACCAGCACAGGAAGGCCAACCTGGAACCATTTTGATTCCTAAAGTGAGCAAATGTTTTCTCTGCCAGGTCAAACTGGAAAAGCCTCCCCATTGTCTTTCCCTTCACAAATCCTGTCTTAAGGGTATGTCTGTGTTTGAATAGGGTGTGAGCCTGTGACCTGGCCCAGGAACTAAGTATTTATCATTACAAAAGACTGGCCAGGCTACCCAGGAAATCCAATCAAGTAACCTGCCAGACAGGAGATAAACAAGGACAGGAGAAAAACAACATTCAAATTTTCTGTTTTAGACCGCCTTTTCTGTGATGTAGGTATGATGTATCTGAGGGGTGGTCTTAGGTTACACCCCTTCTGTGATGTATGTATGATGTTTCTGGGGGTGGTCTTGATCTACAGGATGGGAATTTCAAAAGTCTTTATAAGGCCTTGCATGCCATTTTTCTGGGTCCTCCTCCTTTCCTGCGTGTGAGGGGAGCACCCTGTTGCAACAGATCAATAAAGATCAAGCTTACTAGCTGCTTTGCTTCTCAATATTCTCTGGTTGGCCTCTGTTATTCTCTCCTACCAATAGGGAACTTACGTAAGGACTCTATATGGGCTCTTGGATACCCCATAAGGGAAAAGGGCAATTTTTGTTTACAACAATACCCAATTCTTGAGGTCCAGTTTCTATGAGGGTAGAATATGTAAGAGGAAGCTTGCCAAATCACTTCCTTTGTGAACTGTGCATGAAGAGGGGGAATTAACAACCCACAAATGAACTCTGGGACCATATTCGAGAAGTTAGAGCCTGTTCAGTTATTGCAATGATTCTGCAAGCCACACTGCCAAACACTAGCCAGTGCTGCTCCATCTCTTTAGTGCTCAGATAAGGTTCTTGGTCTTGCCTTCTTGCTCTTCTCTCTTGTCCTTTGTGCTGACTTGGAAACATTCCTCAAAGGGCAATTCTGTGTTGGAGGCCTGTGCTGTCAGCTTAACTGTAGATCTCTAATGAAGTATAATAGTCTAAGCCGGTATTACAATATTCAATAACTGCCGGGCCTTCAGCAGTGTGTCTTAGGAGTCCTTCGAAACCCCCACTCCACCCCGGAAACATAAGTGATATTGGCATGATAAGGGGTTTTCAATTACGTCCTGGGTGTGATTCCATTTCCATAGTTAAGAGGTGGTTTAAAGCACCTCTGCAACAATTAGAAACCAGCCAAATGGATGCTGTAGGCATTCACCTATGATCAAAGACCCGCCAAGCTTAATTTGTATTTGTGTGTCCTCCAGAAACAGGACCGGGTTCAAATTGGGATATGAAGAGACAAAGTAATTGATGTACCACTCCCTTTGATATCTTATTTGCAAAGGCTGTGTAATTACTTGTCAGTCCAGCCTGAGCTCTACCTCAAGCAAAAACGCTTTAGTATTCTTCTTTCATTCTTCTTGTTTTAATTGTACTGACATTCCTGTTCTCTGAAGAAACATCACAAAGAAAAAACCCAGCTATGTGCACATCAGGAGGCTGGCTCTGCGGCCTTTGAAATTAATGGCAAAGCTTCAACGGAGTCCAATGGAAGGAGTGGAATGGAAATGGAATTTTTTTGGGTCCTACTGCAGGCATCCACCAGTGTGATTGTGTGTGCGCATAATTTTAAATGTATCCAATGTTGACATATATAAAAGCCTGTTCTCAAGAGTCTGTCACATTCTAGAATGATGGAGAAGCAAAGCCCAGGGGTTGGGCTATGCCAATGAAGAGGAGGGGCCATGCAGATTAGGAACAAGCTTGAATCTCAATGGCTCTAGTCAATGGAGCCATTAGAGTAAGATTTCGGGGCTTCCCCCATGATTTTGCAATACTTGTTTTTGCTGTGATCCATAAGTTTAGCAATGCTTCCACATCTGCCACTAGTATAGTATATTTGAGGGAATTTAGTAGTCATTAAAAAATATATCATTTTATATTAGGGATCCTGTTATTTCTAAAATAAGATTACAGATTGTAATGTAGATCAATGTATGTGAATTATTGGAAAGTTGCAGAACATAAAGAACCTGTTACACCTTCCAACAGATTTCCCATGTTTCTGGGTATATACTTCTGAGTCAATGGAGAGTAAGATGCCACTGATACTGAATCTTTCAGTAAGATTTAAGACTTAAGACTTTACTATGAATCAGCAGCGTTTTGCTGGCTGAAAGACTGGCTGCTCCTCGAGAATACAGACATTTTGGATCTTGAAGGGTTTGATAACAGATTTGGTTGGCATGCATATATATGGTATGACAAGGTAAAAGTGCATAAAGGCTTTAAGAACCATATGGTGAGGAAAGCTCTGTATAATGTTTGGATAAGGTATAAAGATTTGCTTGAAAGCAGAACCCCTAGGTGGCTGTCACCAATGGAGGCAAATGAGGTGAAAAAAATGAATATGGGCTCTAATTGGCCTAAATATTTTGAAATGATAGAACAAGATGGTGAAAAAGTAAAATTGCAGAGTTTCGAGAATCTGAAGTTTAAGGTGAGAGATTGGCTACATTATCGACAGATAAATGAAGTATTTAAACAGGACAGAAAGAAAGGCTTCCAAGTGGAGAAGTCAAAACTAGAAACAGAACTGTTAGAACCCAATTCTAAAAACTTGTCAAGAATGTACAACTTGCTGTTGAAATGGAATACTCAAGATGAAATGGTGAAATCTAGCATGATTAAATGGGCACAGGATATAGGGCATGACATTGAGCTTGCTGACTGGGAGCAGTTATGGACCACTGGTGTTAAATTTACGGCATGTAATGCCTTAAGAGAAAACATTATGAAAATGATCTACAGGTGGTACATGACTCCGGCTAAGTTAGCAAAGATCTATCATCTGCCCAATAACAAGTGTTGGAAGTGTAACGAAACGGAGGGAACCTTCTATCACCTTTGGTGGACCTGCCCGAGGATTAAGGCTTTCTGGGAAATGATCTATAATGAAATTAAAAAAGTTCTGAAGAGAACCTTTAATAAAAAGCCAGAAGCCTTTCTCCTGGGTATGGTGGGCCAAATGGTGCCAAAGAAGGAGAGGACATTTTTTATGTATGCTACAACAGCAGCAAGAATTCTTCTAGCAAAGTATTGGAAGACACAAGATCTACCCACGTTGGAAGAATGGCAGACGAAGGTGATTGATTATATGGGACTGGCAGAGATGACTGGCAGAATCCGAGACCGGGGGAAAGAGGTGGTGGATGAAGACTGGAACAAATTTAAATTTTATCTTAAAAACTGTTGTAATTTGGAAAATTAGAAGACCAGGGTAATAAGAGATAAAGAACTACAGTTGTTTTATTATTTTATGGAAGATAAATTTATGAAATAGAAATAAGTTTAATACGAAAGGGTTGCTGGAAAATCTTGAAATATGAATGCAGAAAAGGGGTGGTATGGGGAAGTCGTTTTTGTGTTTACCTATGTTTTTACTATGTTCTCTCTTTTACTTATGGAAAATTAATAAAAACTTATTTAAAAAAAAAAGATACTGAATCTTTTTTTTTAATCCTTCAATTCTACTTTTTTAATAAATAAAAATTTTTTGACCCCAAATCCATTTCCACTCCTCCATGTCAAACCCTTGTTGTAGATTCACAGGAATTGGAGATTTCAGATGACCCTATGAAACCTAGGTTGCAACCCTATACTCACTTGCCTGGGAGTAAGCCCTGTGAATCAATAGGACTTCTGTTAATGTTTTTGTTTATTTTACTTTTTAAAAATGGCATCCTTCCGTATGCATCCATCTTACATTTCTCCTAGGAAGTGGTTTATCTGACAGCCTGTACTTGCTCACAGCAGCCGCCTTGTTTAAAAGAAGTTAAATGTAGTCTTTAGCTAAAAATACGAAACCTGAAAGCTGCCGGATTGATTAGTTTGCTCACTGAGGCTGTCTGGGTGTTACGATAATTCCTTAAGCAGAAGTGCTGAACTCGATGCTTTTTCCTCGGTCTGAATTCCCCCTCCCTTGTTGCACATCAACACTTTCAATGACTGCAAGGGTAATTGTGTCTTTGTTTGCCAGGAACATTAAAATTGTTATGGTTCTTGTAGGAAATGTGCCTGGACTACTTAACTAAATGACATTTCACAGCACACTCTCCTGTTGCAGATACTGCAGGTAAGAGTCAGTGGTGTGGGGACGATTAACCCTTCATGCACTCTAACAAAGCAAACAGGTAAATATTTAGAAGGCTGATAATGCCCTACGTCCTTTGCCCCTTAATAAAAGGAAGAACCTGGTTCAAAATAGCAAATGCTGCTTATAGCAAGGAGGACTATAAAATATTCTCACTAGGCAATTAAAAAAAAAGTCCTAGGAAAGAGCCTTTGGTGAATCACTTTTTGGATTATAAATTTAATTCTCACAAAGCTGGGCATTTGAGCACATGCATCCGAGATGTGGGAACATGGGAACATAAGAAAAGCCTGCTGGATGAGTTCAAACACTACCCAGACTCCTGTTTGTTTTTTAATTAGATTTTATGTTTTACAATTTAAAATATTCATTTAAATATCAATGACTTCCCTTCTTCTCTTTCCTTGGTTCATTTTGCATCGTGTAAATCCCTGCATATTTTATATAAACTAAACTATTCTGTATTCCATTATTACATCCATCAAAAATTATTGACACTGTTGAATTTATCTTACTGCTGCCAACATTTTCAAATGTACACAATTCCCCCCCATATACTCAATAAGCATTTTCCAATCTTCTTTAAATGTATGTTCTTCTTGTTCTCTTATTCTGTGTTAGGTCCACAAGCTGTGCATATTCCATCAGTTTAAGTTGCCATCCTTCTTTGGTTGGGATCTTGCTCATTTTCCATTTTTGAGCTCTCAAAACATGGGCTGCAGTAGTGGCACACATAAACAACCTTTTTTGACACCTGGAAATTTCCACCTGAATTATCCCCAACAGAAAGGACTCTGGTTTTTATTTTGGAAAAGTGCTTT